AAACCTCAACATCTGACCCATCGCCGAGGTTAAACCTCAACATCTGACCCATCGCCGAGGTAAAACCTCAACATCTGACCCATCGCCGAGGTTAAACCTCAACGTATGACACATGTTCGAGGTAAAACCTCAACATCTGACACATCGCAGAGGTAAAACCTCGACATCTGACACATGGTCAGGTAAAACTTCAACATCTGACCCATCGCCGAGGTAAAACCTCGACATCTGACACATGGTCAGGTAAAACTTCAACATCTGACACATCGCCGAGATAAAACCTCAACATCTGACCCATCGCTGAGGTAAAACCTCAACATCTGACACATCGCCGAGATAAAACCCCAACATCTGTCCCATCGCAGTATTAAAACCTCAACACCTGAGCCATCGCTGAGGTTAAACCTCAAGACTTGACCAATCGCTAAGGTAAAACCTCAACACCTGACCCATAGTCGAGATAAAACCTCAACGTATGACACATCGTTGTGGTAAAACCTCAACATCTGACCCATCACAGAGTTAAAACCTCAACACCTGAGCCATCGCTGAGGTTAAACCTCAACACCTGACCCATCGCTGAAGCAAAACCTCAAGACTTGACCTATCGCCAAGGTAAAACCACAACATCTGACCAATCACAGAGTTAAAACCACAACATCTGACCCATCGTCGAGGTAAAACCACAACACTTGATCCATTAAATGGCAGATGTTGAGTTGTCCCTTAAAAAAAGGAAAAGCTTTTCCAGCAGCCAGTTAAGGTCTTAAAGATAAACACAGCTCAGTGCAACATAATAAAGGGCCTAGTTATGACATTGCTCTGTTCCAGCTGCAATCCAGACTGACACGGTTACAGAAGAGCTGTTGCATTCTGGGTAATTCTGCCTCTCCCAGAATGTTTACCATGTCTTCTTTCTTTGTCCTCAGACAGTCTGTCACATCACTTGCACCGGCCAACCACTGGCCATATATCAAAAACTGCTGAAAACCTCATTCCATTTCTCTCAGACGTGGTCGGTGCCGTTTGCTACCTCTACTTGCAATTTATTGCCAGTGTCTAATGAATCTGGATTTGCACGATTGTTCTGGGTAGCTGGCTCCAGATCAGTAGATGAAAACGTGACTCATACACATTTTAAACCTGTGTTCATCATTAGTTTCCGTGGAGAATACAATTTGGTTCCTTCTAAAGCTCTCCATTAGTTGTGGCTGATTGGTTACTCAGTTAATAACAACAGTCACTTTTCTAACTAAAGTTTGGAATCTGGTTTGCAGGGAATTGTCTGGATCAATGCATCAGAACATTAACGAAGCTATGAACTGATAAAACTTGCCTCAAAAGCTTCCAACTCCTCATCTCTACAGGACTGAGACTTTTTCATCTTTGCTGTATTTTTAAGGATAATTTCTGCTTTAAATAAGTTTAAAGAAGCCAGCCATCCCATTTCTGTTGGACACCAGTGTCTAATTACCAGTTTGTCTTTCAGCTTCAGAACCAGATCGACCGCCTCCACCTCCGTGTGCTTCTGGATCCTCTGCTGAAGGTCCTGCAGACAGAAAGCAACAAAGATGGCGTTGTTGAGATCCAGTCAGATTTAGCTTTAAAAGAAGATTTCTAAGATTGTCAAACTGATGATTGTTCATTTTTCCCAGCTCACCTCTTCACATAGAGCTTCCAGGTGCAGAGCCTCCAGTTTCTGAGTCATCTCTCTTTTCCTGCTGCGGAACCAGCCATCAAAGTTTGGGGATTTTAGGAAATGCCTGAAATAACAACATCACAGAATCTGATACCAGGTGGTTTGTGTATGTCTCTACAGCAAAACAACTCGACACATGACGCTTCCCACCTGTAGAGTCCGATCCAGTCTCCTTTGAGTCTGGACGTGAGCTGAGGTCCTGCTTTCTCCAGGGTCTTCATGAAGTCCTGCTGGACAAAAGGCCGGAGCTGAGGAGGACTCTTCCAAGGACTGATGGACTTCTGGAGAGGCATGAGGCTGGCAACATAACGCTCCTGCAGAAACCCAACAGAGACTGTATGAAAAGGTCCAAACCTAAAGCGGCGTTTAAACTACAACTTTGTCTGAGACGGCTGATGTTTACCAGAGGGATGATGAAGCTCTGAGTCAGCTCTAAGAAGTAGCGTCGGAGAATTGCATTCTGGGCCGCTGACGGTCGCTTCTGCTGAACTCCCTGAAAGAAGACAAAGCCAAGGAACTGAGGAGCAACCAGGGCAGATGAATCTGGAATGTTTCAGCCTGCAATGCTAACAGAATCACTGCCAGATTATAATAAAGGTAATAATCTCATCTCTACTCAACAGAAAAAAGATATATATATATATCCATCCATCCATCCATCCATCCATCTTCCTCCGCTTATCCGGGGTCGGGTCGCGGGGGCAGCAGCTTAAGAAGGGAGGCCCAGACTTCCCTCTCCCCAGCCACTACTTCTAGCCCCTCAGGAGGAACCCCAAGGCGTTCCCAGGCTGAACGAGAAACATAGTCTCTCCAGCATGTCCTGGGTCTTCCCCGGGGCCTCCTCCCTGTGGGACGTGCTGGGAACACCTCGC